ACAAGACATCGCGTCACCAACAGCTTTGAGCAATTGCTCTGTCAGGGTGGATGTACAACTAGGCGCTCTATAGACCAAAATGAATCGTGTCAAATTAGCACCAGTATGAAAATCGCAACAAAGAATCTCGTAACCTTTCGTGACTGATTCCCTGAAAATCATTTCGGGTATAAGAGAGTTCCGAATCAGCAAAGCTACCCCTCCTCCTCTCTTACTTTCACGATCACATCTTATCAATGTGTACTTAGAGCAACTATTACCCAGTAATGGAGATATATCTATTGTATGGTTTAGCCAGGTTTCGGTTACTATATGTAGATACTTCTGAAAAAAGTCACGTGAATGAAGTTATTCGAAAACATATTTCACACAGACCTGATGAAAACTTAATTTACTTTATCTGTATTGTCCACAGTGCAACATGTATTAAAGGGGGAGGAAGGCAGAGGATTCTGTCACAATGAAAATGTTGTTCGTCCTCGCTATGCTGTCCTTCCTCCTTGTGAATGTTGGCTCTCAGGGTAAGTGCGGTTGTCATTCTTTGTCTGTAGCCGAAGGCGATGACTTACCTGTACGCCGCTCTCGCCTCTATTGGAGCAACTTTCCCATCAGGAACGGGAACTTCGACGAGGTTCAATTCTTCTTCGATACCTTGCGATACTGATGAAGGAATGAGACACGTGTTTGTGCACTTCTTCCGCAAGGCTGGGAAATATCGAGTTAGTCCTTTTTTGAAATATTGCTTCGCTTCCAGATCTTAACTCATCTGTTTGTTCACAATACGCATCTTCACTTTTTACGGTCATAAATGTAGTGACAAGACTGAAGTACACCGAAAACCGTTTACTGAGCAGTGAACAAGCTCACTACTAAATCATCAGATCCGCTATCCGATTATGTGCCTCTTGCATACAGGGGCGGCCAAAAAAGAGATGCTTCATTCCACACTTCAGGCAGCATTGGTCACACTTAGCTAAACTCAGACCCACTGCTTCCAAATCAATATTGAAGAGCACATTCCATTTTATCAATAAGCGTTATAACAGCTCTCTGTACCAAGCACATCTTTATTTGCCATGGCAAACTCGTGCACCTAGTCAACTGATCATGGACCATTACGATGCCGTCTGCTGGTCGGGAGGGTTCCCGTATTTTAAAGTTTCACTGAAGCTACGAAACAATCTGTCATTGAATCGATCAAACACATTTCGTGACAGCTTCTGGCTGGGACGATTACGCTAGGCCAGCTCAACGCTGATGGAAGACGACGTCGTGCCTTGAGGATGGCGAGGGAAGTGGAGGAGAGCCTGCTTCTGCTTGTAGGAGGACATCTAAGGGATATTTCGCCGCAAAAGTTTCCAAAAGTGGTACCCCGTGCGACGAAAAGTTTGATGATATGCGCCATGGATAAATTGCTTTAAGTTTGATGGATAGAATGCCTTTCTTTGGCCACCCCTAAATATTTCTGGATTTTATGATTTCTTCGTTTAGTGAATGGCTCCATTTAATCGGAAGCGAGTGGGATTTCTTGTCTACGCGCTGCTGGTTGGATTCTTTCCGAGATCTCCGAAGGATGCATCGGCACCGTTATACAACTCTCAAGCTGTATACGTATGATGGTCCCTCTCCTAGAGTCGATCAGTTACGGGAGCTAATTTGCGGATGGATTTGGATGTTGTCAAAAAGCGTACACACCGCAATTCATTGAGGACCTTTTTAAAATTGACTACAGATGACCGTATCAGGATAAACGATCGGAGGAGTTCACAGAAAGTTCGGAAGAACTATAAGCGACATGTTTTTTCTTGTACAAGTAGAAAAGAAGGGTCTTTCAAAGAATTGAAGGCTCCTGGTAGGGGCTGCGAGTGGAACCTGTGTACACCAACGAGAAAATCTCTGATAGTTTCCACTGTCATTCATATCTTCAATCGAGGAATTTCAGATTCATTAATATTTTCAAATTAATCATTCATCAATTATTTTCAAATTAGTCATTCAATCAATCATGATTAATTAATTTCAAATTCAGAAAGTGGAACGAGGGTTGCGCAGTTACATGTGATATTGGCTGCGGCATCAGCTGGTAGGATTTTGGGTTTCAGGTGTATACTTCCTCTTCATAGCCTATGAGATTCAGAAGAACCTTCTTCAGATGAGGGTTTTGGATCAAAAAAACTATGTTGAGCCCATTTTTCAAGGTTCTCATTAATCTCAACTTGTACGACACAAATATGGGACAAAATAGAGCGAGAAAGGTAGGATCTGCAGTTGGAGTATAAATCAAGGAGGATGGACTTCAAAGAACCTTTTAGCAAGTATAGCAAGTGTAGCAGCTGTCGAAACGCCGATTTCTGCCACTACTATTTGCAACTTATAGGCCTTGATCTGAGTGCAATTATAATATTGGAGAAATTAAAAAACGAGACATTGGGAAAGGAATAATTTCAATTTGCGTATGTGGTTATCCTAGTGATGGTTGTACTCATTGAATTTCGAAAGCTCGAAAAGAAGCGCTAAGATATCATGTTCCAAACTAATAGGAAGGCTTCAGCCATCCTACCTCATCACTGGTTGCTTATATCTCCGTGTATGATGAATTTGTGAACAACTCCCACAAGCATGGGCATGACAGGACGGACAAATGTGGCCTGTAGGTGCAGTAGCTTCAAAATCTTGAATAGCCTTCTTTGATCAAGTCCACACTTGAATGTCGGTGACTCGAACTAGTGCCTACAAATAATCCAAACAGGCTATACCAATGATGAAGGGTTAGGGAAGAGAGTGCGTCCTTACTCATCTTCCCTACCGTGACTTGAGCCCTAGGACGATGCTACCTGCTGCACATGGAAGACTCTTCTGAGGAGGAAAAATTCAATTTGAGTCATAGAGGTCAGCGAGAAAATGGGTTGGTCTGCAGATCAGGTAAGGATGGGTGCTACACCGTAAAGGACTATTTGAGAAGTAATTCAAAAATTATGGCACAGCCTACACAGCTGAACGATGGAGCTGAATCAGTGCCATTCATGATTGCTGCGACACGTAAAGCATGATCGTATGCCTCAACTTGTCGCACCCAGAGGATCAGGACTCTTAAAGGAATCTTGCGCGGAAAAATCATGATTCTATTTCAGCCATAAATCACTGGCTTGAGACTCATTATCCACGATAATAGTGAAAAGAACTGAAGTATTGCTTTCGTTTTGATTAGAAATTCGAAAACTCGAAAAGGCTGCTACGCGTTCGAATTGCCCACGGACGTCTTTTTCACGAATGCTGGCGACGGGGATGCTCAAACTTGGTTCTTGGAGTGCATTCACTAGAAGCTCTTTCTGGCCTTCTGCTTCGTTGCATTCACATCTTACACTTCTACTCCATCCTATTCCATCGATCGATTTGTCTCCACTCTCCGAAATCGCGCGCTTTAACCCGATTCTCTCATTGCGTCGCCTGGTACGTAGCCGGCCAAACGCCGTCTTCTTTCCATGCCTCGCCTGGCTCTGCCTCCTGGTCCTTCGATGGTCCATAACGTGTAGTTTTTGTACGTTTGTTTCTCTTCAGAAACCGAATCTTCATGCGTGAAACTTTGTGTGCTATTTCCAGTGATCACAACTGACATATTCATGTTAGGAAAGAGTGCAAGAATTTTCCGCGCAAGATTCCTTTAAACAGGCGCTGTTGCTCGTATCCGAACAATTTAGTGTGACAGAAGCCTTCGTGTATGTCACACGATGGTCTCTCGGAGCGATTAAAGTTGCGGAGTTGGTTAAAGGAATCTTCCACGGAAAAAGCTCCGCCTCCATTACCACAGAAAAACGATACCTTAGGCCCCTAGCCTCATGAGCATAGCAAAAAGAACGGAACATAAGCGTTAGTTTCGATAATACTAATCCTACACACAAGACAAAATGATCACTCTTTTCCGTGGAAGATTCCTTTAAGGTATCGTTTTCTGTGGTAATGAAGGCGGAGCTTTTTCCGTGGAAGATTCCTTTAAGGTTACTCTATCTGGACAGGAAACGCATTCAATTTACCAAAAGACACTGGTCAAATCCGAGTGTTTCATCTTTTCATAACCTTTTAACCCTTTGACGACAATGCGAATTTGCACGTAGCGTGCTCGTGGGACCACGCCTCTTTTTGGCGCGCCCAACTCTCGCACAAAATGGGGCAAAATTGTCCTAAAAGCAGTTTTTCTATCAAAATTTTGACTATGACAATAAACAAAATATGACTGCAGTCTTAAGCTTTATGATCATGTATTTGGAATTAGAAGTGGAAGTTTGGAAAGAAATCTCGATCTTAAAAGGTGTTTGAAACACCACTCTAGAGAAGTTTCAAAACTGCAGCAGTAAGGTTTTCGATATATCAGCTAGTTCAATCCTCTTTGTCGCTGCAAGACATGCAAAAGAGGCTAGAGTCCCGCCATCTTGTAATTCACCTTAAAGCTTAATAATGTAAACAACACTACACTTAATACATCGCAGAGCGAAGTGCCATATCCTGAAATTTCTTATAAATTAGATAATAACAAATATTTCTGCAAAATATGCTAAAAGTAGGCGTAACAGAGCTTCATTATAATTGCTGTTATGTTTAAAAAATTTCAAATGGGTAAAGAAGATAATTTTAGGGTGGCACCTATCGGTGGGTGCCATTGTCGCCAAAGGGTTAATAAAATTGAAGGCTGATTCAAAGCTCCCCGCCGAATCCGAAAACAAGTCTTCACATTTAGAGATGGGATGTGCGTCTGGCGAGATATGCTAGAATGGCCTTGTATATCCCAAGTACTAAAAAGCTAGGCTGTTACCAAGCTCAAGAGTTGGAAGGTTCGTTTGGATGGTTATTCTTAATATTTCTTATGCGATAAAATGTTCGTTAAGATCACATCGACAACCTAAGGAACCATGGCAAGGAATGCATCAGGCTCTACGACAACTCAAGTCCCACCTCTCCGAGGTATGTCTTTGGGATGAATAGACTCGTTAGGAGTCGACGATTTCAAACTTGAGATGAAGTGCACGAAATCGCAGCGTAGTTCTGACATAGATGACACCTTATTTTAATGAAGACACGTTTCCCGATAGAAAAATATTTCGTTTGAAGGTGAATGCATAAAAATTTAGCGGTCCGATAGTGTGTCATTAAGCCCTGTAGTGAACGTCCTTATTCCCTTTTAAAGGACGAATTCACGATGAAAAAGCAACCCATTTCAAATTAACCTAGGGATGGTGAGTGGTACACGAAAGAAGGAAGAACCATGAGAAACGGCCCAGAACCCGAGAAATGGACCCTTCCTTGCCCGTTGATTCGAGCATTGATGCGACTCTCATCGCTGTGCCCTCTTCAACACTACGCTCTCTCAGCTATCTAATCACTCGCCACGTATTGAACTACGGCGAGTGATCAGATGATCGGTGGGCGGAGATCGCCGGACCCGCCAGCTTTGAGGCATGATAGGTCGCCGAGGTCAAATTTTTCCATGCGAATTGCGCGTCAGTTCGCACCCTCAGGAGGTCCGTGGGTCCCTCAACTAGGTCAGTTTCCCTTTCTTCGACCTTCATTCTAATCGTGAATTCCTCCTTTAAATAAATCTCCCATATGGCAGACTGCGTTCCATTTGCTTGAAGCTGTATGCAATGAAAATTCCCGGATGAAGTAATTTAGGCCATTTTTAGTATTTTCTTGCATACGTTCAGCTGGAAGGAAACACTTTAAAGTTAAAACAGATAAATTATTTGTCATGAAGAATGAGCATATGGAAAAACTTGTATTGGCATCATAGTGAATCTCGGTGAATTTTGATGATCTCAAATCAGTCGTTGAGCTCTTTGTGGGAATGCGGAGATACCAATTTCCACCTGGACATACACAACAGAATTTCAGTGGACTGATGAACGAAAGTCTAACTTGCCTTATTTGTAGACATCTAGAAATTGCAACCTCCAGGACGGGTGGGACGATAAGCTGTGAGAGAGACGCGTTGAGTAAGAACAATTGTTCCAAATGAATTGCCCCTAGGAAGGTAAAAGGTGGCGCTTCTGCGAGCGAGCGCGTCCGTAGCGGGCCGACGAGGTCTACCCCGTCTTTCGACGCCTCGCCCCCTGACCGCCTCACCGTTGAACGCCAGGCATAGAGCATAGCACTTTGATAACGTCAACACCGATGTGAAAAACTCAAAACGGAAATCAACGGGCTAAGCAGGGTACCGCCTGCAGGTTTCGGATATTTCCTTGGTTTTTTACCCTTGTACTCACTACCGCCCTTATCTTGCATTTCTGCTCGGCTTTTCGTGCAATCCCAATGATAGGAGCGCAATTTGCCAAATGTGAAATTTTCATCTTCACGACATGAAACCAATGAATTGCTACGTAATTAATTGAAATATAATCGATTGAATGCTGAACCACATCGGACGGCCCGGCAAGCAGGGTCAACCGCCCGTTGCGCAAAGAACAACGAGGGGGTCGTATTCAGCCGACCGAAAAGGGAGGGGGTCGAGAGACGGGGCTGCAAGACGGCTTGAAAAGTGCAGTGTCCGGGAGTGCACTTTCACGCTCTAATGTTCTCCAGGAGCTCTGCACCGTGCAGCTGTCGGAGAGTCACACAGACAAGAGCTCCATGGGAGCATTATCAGCCATTATTATCCTAATACACGGACGGCGCTTTCGCTCGACAGCATAGATCAAGATTACAATAGCCAAAACTGGGTTACAGCGTAGTGCAGAAGTGGTCGTGGGAAAGTGAAACAAGAGTACCATATAACAGTACAATGCAACTCAATCACGATACTAACACCTTCTTCAGGAAAATGGAGGACTTTCAAATGCGAGTGCGACTTCTGCCCACAGACAGGTGCACGGCGTATACCCGAGCAGGCGTTTTCCATAAAAACGCCTTCTCTGTCAAGGGAGCAGACAAACTTTCAAAAAAGTTTTGGTGCTTTTCTAAATCAAATCTAAGCGGAACAAAGTGTAGCGAATTGTTGAATTGCGTTCTAGAAAACCCCTAGGAAATTAAGGCAGAAGAAAGAACTTTAGAGGAATTCTACCAATTTTCGAAGTACTCTTCGCGCAAATTTCAACAGTCTATATCGCTTCTCATCTCATCTATTTTGAAGGAAGTTATGGGCCTTTGAAGGTGCAAAGTCGCGGTGCAGGAAAAAGGCTTAAAAAAAATCAAGGTGGAAAAAACGGAACAACGGGACTATTTGACGAGTGATCTTTTAAAAAGTTTAGCAATGGAAAGCTCTGATCTTCTAGTTCCTAATAAGCTTTGAAATATGCAAAAAGTAAGCCACGAAAAATTTATGGTCGTTTGAATGGTCGAAAACTCGCGTCTTCTCAAAAATCGGACCCCAAACCCACCCAAGAACGGAACAACGGGAATTTTTTGAAAAAATGATCGCTGGAAAATTTTCAGGTGCTTGTTCGAAAGCTCTAATCTTCTAGTTTCTAATTAGCCTTAGACATTTGCAAAAAGTTGATTATGAAGAAAGTTATGAATGTTTGAATGTCAAAAACTCGCGTGTGCACAGAAAACGGAACAACGGGACGATTTTTTGAAATATTGAACGCAACATTTCAAATACTTTTTAGGAAGAAAACTATTTGAATTTTCAAAATTTTTGTGTCCGGTTCCATGAGACCGCTTCTGAAAAAATATAACCTTCTGAATGGAGGGGTTTGTATTGTAACGTAATTGCTACAAGGTTTAGTTATTCAGATTATAAAAGAAGAAGAATTGAGAGATCGAAAAAAACTTGGTAGGTTTCTGAAAGTAGAAATCTTTGATTAAAATGATGTATTGGTTTACGCAAAAATTTGGAAATTCCTTCTATTTAATGAATAAAACTTCATTTGCCTCGATTCCCTCCTCTGAGCGAGACAGAGCGCGCGGATTGACCACGGTCCACCACTTCTCCATGTCGGTGACTGCCCATATGCGCATCAACGATGAGCCAAATTATGTAAAAGGCACAATATTTGACGGGGGGGGTTCGTACCGATCCTCTCCGGAAATGAAGGGGGTCGTAAACATTTTGGAATTTGCGCAACGCAGGGTTGACCCTGCCGGTATGTGGCCAGCGATGTCTCTGTGTTTCCGCCCTCCACCGCGCCACAGGCCTCCTCCACACACCATCATGAACCATTGTTTCGCGAGTACATTGCGAAGCCGGTTTTACGTGAGCA